GGCCAGAGATTACTTGCTTCAATGTACTTTTCTAATTCATCCATAGTGATGCAGATCATGCTTTACTCTAGCAGGCGAAAAGTGAATTCCGTAATTCTAACAAAAAAAAGAGTGTAACCACTAGACACAAGCTGAAAGGAAAAGCTAGGAGACGGAGAAACATACTTCATCTTGAGCTGGATTATATTCTCCTTCCAGGCAAAAGTATTATTATATAGCTCAACCTGATTGCAACATAAACAAAAAAAAACTCGTCAAGGAAAAATTACATGGAAATAGCTAAAACCATAGTAACAACACGAATCTGTGGGAAATAAACTACATTACACGAACATGGAGAATGTAAAAAAAACAATAAGAAACAAAAAATTGAAGAATTATCAAAAAAATAATCTTTGAAACTAATGACAGATTCTGTGTTTTCTCATCAACCAAGAAGAAGCACAAATTGACGCATAACAAGAAGCACAAAATCAAGATTGAAAAGGAGAAGATGAAAGACACAAGAAATTTATCATCGAAATTGATTCGACAAAGACTAATGAAATCCTCCTGACCTAGCCCCCGTAACAAAAAACCACACCAATCGAAACTATGCATAAGAATCGTATTCAAGATTAAGAACATGGAACCGGATTTATCACCTCTTTCAAATCGGAGGATCTTTTTCTCGCTCTGCAACTGCAATATGTCTTCTTCTGGTGGTGGAGAAGAAAGGAGAATCTCACGTTTTAACCCTTCCGAATGGATGACACGGTCAATAGCCGTCCGTGCGTTTGACTTTGACCAAAAAAGATTCTAAATCCACCCACGTGGTTAGGATAATCCGTAAGGGTAGTTTTGGAAATGTCTTTCTTCTTGTATTCTGCTCACATTTTGATTTTGGTTTCTTCTCAAGTAGCAGAGAAAAGGCAAAATCAAACATTAAAGTCTTGTAGAATCTAACTGCTCATCATTAATCTACAGAAACTAACTAACGCAATACAAGGCATTGTACTGCTGCAGATTACAACACTTTCCGTAGTGTAGTCCTCCACCAAAGAAGCAAATTCATCCCTTTATCTTCTTGTTACTACACATAAGTTATCACCCCGTTAGTACACAACTACTTGCAGTTGCTGAAATGTTGGATTGGATTGAATAATAGTGAAGCCGGTGTTGTTTTATATTGCCAACCTTGCTACTGATTCTTCCGCAATCTTCCAAGCGCGCTTTAAAAACTCTAATGATTTTGAAGGGTCTTCCTCTTCTGAGAGAGCAAATCTCAGGTCTGCAAAGCACTCACCTAAAGAAGAAATAGATTCTTCTGCCTTTCTTGAACCTCCAGGCTCACGAGGTCCTGGATGTTCTTCATGTCCTTTTGCCTCTACCCGTGACTCCATGAGATGCTTTATGCTAACTGTCTTTCTCTCTCTTGCGCGCACCTCGGTTTCCAAATTTGCAGCCATGGAAATGGCTCGACTTATACACGAAGGAGGTATCTACAGTCAAGCATAGATGTGAGATCAGCTTCATGAATGGACCAACAATAGCCACTATGCATCCAATGTTCACCTTCAACTTCTTTAGCCTTCAAGACCAGCTTACCTATGATCTTTGTATGTCGATATGAACTTGTGTATGCATATATGTAGGTGAGGCCCATGAGATAAAAGGGAGGGAGTTTACCTGGGCAAGCTGAGCAACCTTAAAACCAAAGCTCCTGCTGCAAAGACCTCGCACAAGTTTATATAGGTAGGTCACATCATCATGATCAGAACCGCCATTATCCTTTTGAGATGTCAGATAGGAGACATGGTATGTCCCAACACAACCTGGGAATCCATTACTGATCTCAGCTAATTCAGGGTAATGCGTGACAAAAAGAACCAAACATCTTTTTTCTGCTAACAGATGTTCTAATGTTGCATAAGCAATGGCTACACCGTCATGTGTGCTAGTGCCTCTTCCAAGCTCATCCATTATAACAAGCGAACGAGAAGAGCAGGTTCTGATTATGTGCGACGCTTCACTTAATTCTTCTAGAAAGGTACTTCGGCCATGCTGGATACTGTCTGAAGCACCCATCCGAGTGAAAACGCCATCGAGAACGTGCAGCTTGGCGAACAAAGCAGGTACAAAGGAACCAACCTGGGAATAATTAGAATCAATTAGCATTCAACAAATGTAAAGACCCCCGAGAGCCAGAGAGTATTGAAGTAACGGCCACAGGAATGGGCACATCATGACATCGTGAGATATCCAATTTTTTTTTGCTAGGCGCATAACCGAAAAACAGATGTTGATGGAGCATAAGCTATGTTACCTGAGCCATTATGGTAATTAAAGCAACTTGACGGATATAACAGCTCTTTCCTCCCATGTTAGGTCCGGTGATAATCTGGCAATATTCACCTTCTGCATGCAAGCTTGTGTCATTTGGGACGAAGTTATCTTGTAAAAGAGTCTCCAGAACCTAGGAAATTTGAATACAAGATGAACAACATACTCCCAACCTAGTTTGTTGAGATAGAAAGAAAGAGATAAAAAGTGAGAAAAGATGCATACAGGATGACGACCAGACTGTATGTTTATCTCAACTGGATCACAGTCATCCACAAACACGGGACGTACGTAGTTCTGCAGAGGGAAAATTATTTAAGACGAAGTTTAGACATGTAAAGCAGCAACTACAAGGACGTTTTTTGTGGTTTGTTCCTTTGGCAAACCTTGTTTCTAGATAGAGTTGCAAGGGAGTGTAAACAGTCCAGCGCAGCAAGAGCTTGAACGGCAGCCTGAAAAGTGGTATAGTATCTACCGAAACTCTTGAGAAAACTATCCCATGAAGCTCGGTTCACTATAGCAAGATGTTCAGTTGCTAGAGCTAGCTCGTCCAATCCAGTAACGATTTCTGGGGGATGATATCGAATAGTCTTTTTGGTGCTATTTATTTTCACCCAATTCATAGGGACCTTGGCATCAACAGGCAGCTGTATCAGAGAAACAAAGCCTTAGCTTCAGATCAGAAATAAAGGTCCACAACTTTCAAAGATTAGAGTACTATACCCACAAATGTTTTATACTTGGTACAAAAGAAGATATTAGGTTCAACAGCTGTGAATCATTTCTAATGGATACTTGCATGAGAAAGAAAGC